TACTTTATGGTCTCCCTTACCCAAGAGTCGCTGGTGGTGACCTCCCAAATGTCACTGAACAGTGCTAAGTGACCGCCTATAGGAGGGTCTGCCTTGGCGTCACTTGGACTTCCTGTAATGTTGACATCGACCCCCGGCCCCTCTGAAGGGACATTTGGACTGGAATTGGCCCTTGCTTCTAGGATTCTGGTGGTCCTACTGTCAATCCTGTCTTGGGGAAAAGGATCGAGAACCTCTGGGACATTCCCAGGACTGCCCAGCCCGAAAGGGCTGCCTCCACTCCCAGAAACCTCCAGCCCGAAAGGCCTGCTTGCAGAATTCCTGTTGTGGCCTTCTATCCGATCTCTTAGAGGGGTGCGCAAGAACCTTGCACTTATCTTTCCCTTCTATAAAGTACAGTTCTAGAATAGGGCCGAAGAGGTGTGTGCCACTGTACTTGTCTGTGGATAGGCACCACTTGGATTTTAAGTCAGCCCTCCACTGTTTTAACCACAGTAGCCTTTGGGTTGAAACAGTGGCTACAATGGACCTGGTGGAGTACCTGGTAGAATGGAGAGATGTGTCTGCCATATATTCTGACGTAGCAACTAATTTTCCCAACGTCTGGTGTGCACGCACCTGGTCAGGAGAAATCAAGGCCTGCAATTTGCGGAGCCACATTATGAATGCTCTTGCAAAGAAGGATGAAGACATTGCCGCTCTGATCGCCCATGCTGAGGCCTGGTGAGCTCTGTGGAGAGAAAACTCAAACCTCTTGTCCTCCGCCTTTAGGGCTTCCGCCATATCACCCGGGATTGTGGATGTGGAGAACAATGAGAGAGGAGTATCCACAGTAGGCACATCTAGAAGGGAAGCAAATGAAGATGACACACTATACAGTTTCTTTTCCTTACTATTGGGAAAAGGCAGAGTGGCCAATGAGGACCACTGTTTCTCCACCGTGGTGCGGAATACGCTCGGGCAAGGGATTTGTTTCTCCTCTATTACTTTCTCTGCAAACAAGGGATTATATTCTTGTGCCCTGGAAGTAGATGGTTTAGGTTCCTGTTCAGTAGCCAATTTGGCCATAGTACAGGCCTTCATAAGTAATGACCTGAACAGGGAAGGATCAAAGAGACCCGAAGTTGAGCTCGGATCCAGTGTCGCTTCCTCATCCCTCTGACATAGGCATGTCAGCCATCTCCAGGTCCATAGACTCCTCCTCGCCTAACTGAGAGGAGGTCTCAGAGTTACCAGAACCAATTAACTGGTCACGTCCTGTTTGAGATAAAGGTATTGACAGAGGTAGTGGTACCTGAGGGAGCCCTTGACCCATAGAGGAGGCCATGAATTGGCCAAAGCATGGTGCATGAATGCCTGGAATTGCTGTGACCATAAGCCATATTGATCTGCAGGCTGAACTCCAGCTGCAGCGGGAGTGTATGTAACCTCAGGAGCTTGCTGCATGATGGAAGAAGAAGAAGGAGGAGGAAGAGAAGGGGGACGAGGAGGGGGACCAACCTGTTCAGTTTCCCCCTGAGGAGACCATGCCCTAGGGCATCATGAGAAGGCGCGAATTGCGGCTCGAATGGTGATTGTTCCAGTGAAGCGGGGAGAACCACTTCAGCCTCACTGGACATGAGCCGTTGCACTCTGGCAAACTCTCTCTCCAGTGCCTGATGTCTCCTCAAGGCCTCTCGCTCGGCAGCTTTGGAGGGCTCCTTGGTGAAAATATGCTTTGTCTTTGCCTTTTTCTTTCCCCCCACTTCCAAATCAGAAGATCTGCGCTTTTTTTGTGCGTGGGGAACATCAGAGCCCTGCGATGTCTGAGCAGTTGCACTGTCTGCCATCGCACACTGGATATTCCGGATAAGATATGTCCAGGAATGGGGGAAATAACACACAAATCTGATTATCAGAGAGGGAAACTACCCACGCCCTGATGAACCACGATGACAAACAGCCAGACAGTTCACTAGAACTGGCTGTCTAGGCCCTGCAGGCACAGCGCCGCAAGCTAACAGTAACAGGTGGACTCTAAATTAATTCCCCCTCCAAGGGTATACAGAAACAATAGTATTATGATGTATGGATGTGTACATGAAATGCAAGATGGCAGCTACACCCTCATTTACTGTTATCTTCCTGAATAGGAGAGAAAACGTGCCAAAGAATGCCGGAGAATCCCCCATAAAAGCCTGTCTCAGCAGGCCAAATATCCAGATTAGGCCCAGTAAAGTTAGAATGGCCCATGAGGAGCTTCAAAATGGCGACCACGCCTGCTTTGTAAAAACAAAATGGCGGCCAAGAGCCTCTTCGACTCTCAATATGGTGACGCCTCAGGGAGAGCACCCTCAATCTACTTAGTCCCTTCGGACTGAAAGGTATATGAGAGAACCGGTTCACAAATCAAATTCTCTCCTTCTCTAATGAATGCCAGATAACTTGTGTTTCAGGTGCGCAGCCTCTGCTGCGATCCGGATCGTTCATGCTGGCAAATGCCTCATGACCATGAGGTTTGAAAAATGAGGCCCTCCAGTTGAATCACGCTCCCGGTAATCCCCGGTGACAAGAGCCTCCGTTTCAGCGCTGAACAGCTGATAGAAGGCTAAAAACCTTTTGGCAATCCAGCGCGGTAGAAAAGTGGCCCGCAATGGGCCTGCAAGCCCCTTAGGGACCCAAAAGGCACCTAAGCTGCCCTTGGCTCCCTTAAATAAATTAAGTTTAGCTTTAACAATTTTCCTTAAAAACAAAACCTAATAAATCACACCAAAATTACTGTTAATAAACAAAAATAACTAATTTAGGTAGTCTAACTGAGGAGCCAAGCAAAATTGCGTCCTACTGAGCTGAGACTAAGACAAAACTGGGAAAGTCACCGCCCAAAGGAGGCGTGGCTGAAGTTCTGTCTTAGTCTCTTCTGAGCAGGAAGGCTAAAATTACCCACTGGTGGATGCTACATTCATCATGCTGGAGAAAAAATATTCTATATTGGAACTGATTCTAGGTGCAGTTGATTTCTCCAGGACTAGACATCTGACAGAGAGTCTCTTCGATCCAGATAGAGCTATATTTTAACTGTGTAGGTCCATAGAGATATTTCATTATCTGAGAAGAGTTTGAGTGTATTAGTTATAAAGAAGTGGATTGTATCATTAGAGTACTATGCTGGTCAAAGCCTCAAAGGAGGGACATGTCATTGGATCTAGGCAGTAGTGAATAGTTCTCTGAAAAGGAATTGTTCTATCTATCTTGAAAAAGTGAGGATTTGTCTTTTCCTTAAGAGGCCATCACTGAATTCAATGACATGTTGAGAGGGTGGTAAGAAGAAGAGGAAGAAGAAGATGAAGAAAACATCACTGATGATCCTTGTGGATGATATCTAACAGGCACATGACATGGGTAGCGGATCCATCTTGGTCTCTTCTTTTTCATTCCATCAATCATAGTATTTTCTGGAGTTTAGGGAATTGGGAGTGGGAGGCACTTTCTTATGGTGATTCTTCTCCTTCCAGAGCTGGCTCCAGTTAGTATCTGGGTAGGGGGAGAAATCCAGCCTGTCTCCATTCTAATTTAACTTACATGAATCTATTGGATGAGGTCATTTATCAGCATAAGGTTAAGTACTTTATATTTCTGCAAGAGGTTCCTTAAGTGATGCTGTCAAAATGTTTTCCTAGTGTCTGGAAACTATGAAGTATGGATGGGCTTCAACTCACTTCAACAAGTCCATTTCTGATTCTGGATGGAGTTGCAGTCCCTCAGTCAGAATTAGTACACAGTTTATCACCAAATGACTACTTGTGGAGCCATCTGCCCCTACTTATTTCCATACATCCCACCTGATACAGCAGGTTGAATACACTCAAGTCCATTCCATGAAACTATCATTTTTATGGGATTGAGGAAGTATGCCTTCTCTGAGAGGTCCTTAGTGCTCTGTAAGCTTGGTTGTTATCATCTCTCTCGTAGCTCCTGTGGTATGCATCAGCATTCCCTGGGTTTTGAAGAACCTAGCACTATTAGCCCTTAGATTTGAAGACCTGGCTTCCTCAGCATTGGAGTCAGACTGCTAATGGAATATAACATATATGAGGATTCTGATTGTGAACTGATTTTTGAGGGCTTTGAATGCATTGTAATAGTTTTTAATGATATTCTGTGTTTTCATTTTATAAGCCACCTACAATTACAAGGTCGAGATTTTCAGGTTATAAAATAAATACGAGAGGCTAGAAGAAATTGGTGCACAATAAGAAACTGGAATGAACAGAGATTCTCAGTCCTTGCAGAGGAGGCTTAATAGAGGAGAGTAAAACATGGCAGTTTTTAAAACAACAGCAGAATAGAAAACGTGTATAGATCTGTTCCATATTATTAGATTTAGTTGCTGGCTTACTTCGGTCCTGCCAATTAAGCATCATCATATAGTGGCTCCTAGGAAGTAGACAATTTCTGCTTTTGTATTGATCTTTGGAACAGCTCTTGTCTACTTTGGAGCAAATTTTAGAAACTAATTTTATTTCACAGACCTTGGGATAGGAGGTATCAAATGGGCGCTTTTTAGTTGGAGAAAGGTTGATGTAGAAAAATGACATGTTGTTTCCTCAGACAAGTGCTGGGTTTTCATATCTCAGAGGTTGAGTCTTGTTACCCTCCTCTTTAATATCTAAATGAAACTGCTTGGTGAGGTCATCCAACAGCAAGGCTATGACATCATCATAGCAAGATGGCGCAGACCTGGGTATTGCAGCATTGCCTTTCCCTAAGAAGATTGGCTTATCTCATTATATCAGGGAAGATGGCATTTAATATCTTTTAATGTTTTGCACTGAATATATACAAGATCAGCTACAAAAGGTTATTTAAAACTCAACTGAATAAAAAAGAGAGAATAAATAGAAAAGTGAAAAGAACCATATTATGCAATTTTGAAATTGTTAAACTCAGAACACAAAAAAATATCCAGATACTAATGATAATGATAATTTTGTAAGCATTTGTTTCTGTTTTCTTTGTAGATATATGTCCCGGGTTCACGGTATGCATCCCAATAAGACCACACATCAGCTTAGTTTAGCATTGAAGGATGGCCTTGTTGTCAAAACCTTCACCGTGGGATGCAAAGGTTCAAAAGCTGGTATTGAGCAAGAAGGATACTGGCTGCCCGGGGATGAGATTGTAAGTATATTTTCTGCAAGTCTTTCCATCACCATTTGCTGGAGTGTTGACTTGAAATTCTTAGTAGCAGCTTATGTGTAGTCTTAGAAAAGCTTTATGAGGTAAAACGAGATAAAAAATTGGTTTCGTAATTATCTCATGTAGTTGTAGCATTTTGTTTCAGAGTACAGAATGCTTAAGATTGAAGGTAATTATTGTCTGCATAAAGTTTCAAAGGTGAATTAAGTGTATTTTTAAAAATGCAGCCTAATGAATATAGATATTTATAAACATACATTTTTAGACATAGATTAATTTCAAGGCGTAGCAATTAAGGTGTTCATCAAAAAGATGCAGTCCAAAACAGTTTATGAAAAAAATTATTTGGCATTCCAGTTGAGAAAGTTCAGCACCCAGATTTTGTCATATGTGTTAAGTCCTCGAATCAATGGCGAAAGAAGAGCACACATTCTGTAGGTAACAACAGCTTTATTCTTCTTCAGCTCACTCCGACACAACTCAGAGGCTCGCAGACCTCTCTGCCTCTAAATAGAATCCCTGGGCAAAAAGATAACATGAGATGGCGTGCTTTTGCCCTTGCGCATGTGCTCAGGCTAGCGCCACTCATTGCAACATCCCGAGCCTGTTTTTGCAGGCTCAGGACACAACACCCCTTCCCCTCGGATGAAACTTAATCAACTATATAGATAGGTATACGCGACCTCACAAAAGGACGTGGTGTGCTATTCCTTATGAAACTGCACAAACTGTTGCAGCTACTTAATAGCCACTCTACAACATGGTACCGTGCTATCATTTTGGAATTAATTTCCCAATTCCAGGTTTTTTTCCAACAGCAGGCACCATTCTTATCTCCCTTGGGTTGACAACAACCTTACAAAGTCTTCCAGGTGTTTGGGAGATCTTCTAGCCCTCTGTGACCTCCTCAGATTTTGAGAACACCATTGACCTTCATGTGTAGTTGTTGCAGTGGAGCTTCCCCCTCTTTGTTGCCCTGGTGGTCCCTGTGACCTAGGTTCTGTTGCCTGGTCTGCTTGCTTGCCCACCGGGCTCGACAGACCAGGACTTTGCTCCAAACTGTACCTGGTTGATCTGCCTAAGTGTAGGCTATCGGGACCCTCTACATCCCACCCAGTATTTTGTGATTCTGTGGTATTCTCCAAGTCCACAATGGACCTATCATGGGAACGCATCCCTTCACTCCCAAGCCCAGTAACTGGGTTGTTTGGGTCTCTGCAGTGCCCCAGTACTCTGTTGCCCCCCCATTCAGTGCCGGAGGTACCAGAATCAGGATTTGCCTCTCTGACTACCTCCTTGTATACTGACTTCCTTTTGGAAGCAATTGCAGCATTGGGCCAGCTTGTTTGTTTGGATGCCAGTTCTCTGGTGTTAGTTGGGTTGTTTGGATGCTCCCGGTTATTCTCCCTGTCTGGAGTGCTGTATTGGGGTTGTAAATAGTGAGTATGCCCCCTGAGTGACTCCCTGGCTGGTGTAAGTACTGGTGCATGTATTATTCCTTGTTCCCCTGAATTCCTGTTAGGGACACTTGCGGAACCTTGGGATAGGCCTTTCTCCGCCTCTCCATTTGTCCCTGATTGCTGACAGCACCCTGCCCTTTGCACACAATGGTCCCCCTCCCCCCCGGAGAAAACCCAGGAGTTGAAGAGGGAGAGTCCAGTCTCGTACGCAGCTGATCAATATGCCACCGAAGGACACGACTGTCGTCCAGGGAAACCTCGTAGGACAAGGGACCAGTGACCTTGCAGACCACAGCCGGGACCCACAGGTGACCGGGTCCATAGTTCCGGGTCCATACCGGGATACCCACTTGCAAACACCTTGGTGCCCTTGGTTGCAAAACCCGAGACGCCACCCTGTCCGGATGCAGCCTGTCAAGTTGGGTGATCAGTCTGCGCCCCCAGCAAAGTTCTACCGGGCTCTTCCCAGTGGAAGTAGAAGGTGTGGTGCGGCAAGCAAGAAGAAAATCTGCCAACCTGTGGTGCCAGTCACCGTAAGTCAGTTTCTTGAGAGCATCCTTGGTGATGCGAACCATCCGTTCAGCCATCCCGTTGGTGGAAGGGTGGAAGGGCGCTGAAGTCGCATGACAAATCATGTTGGCCTGCAGAAAAGCCTGGAACTCGGAAGAAGTGAATTGAGGACCATTATCTGAAACCAGAACATCTGGAAGGCCATGTGCAGCAAAAATTCCTTTTAGTACCTGAATGGTCTTGGCAGTAGTAGTGGAGGAAACAGGAACAACCTCTAGCCACTTTGAATGGCTATCAACAAGGACCAAGAAGAATTGACCCTGAAAGGGCCCAGCATAATCTACATGCACTCTAGACCAAGGTGATTGTGTTTCCTCCCACCTATGTACAGGGGCCTGAGGCATTTCTGGCTGTGAATGCTGGCACAAGTGGCATCCGTGCACCTGGGCCTCTATATCCTTATCTAACCCCAGCCACCATAAATGGCTGCACGCGAGCGCTTTCATCCTGACAATGCCAGGATGGTCCTCATGGAGAGAGGCCAAGACTCTATGTCTCAATGAGGTAGGAATAACTACTCTGCTGCCCCACAACAGGCAACCCTGAAAAGTGGATAACTCATACTTCTTGAGCCAGAAGCTTTGGAACTCAGCACCTGGGCATCTCTCAGGCCATCCAGAAAAAACCCATGACAGCACACGTGTAACCTCGTCCTGGCTCCGGCTCCAGATATCACCACACAAACACCACGCGGAACAATGCTTTAATATACTTCTTACACAGGCTGCGCAAAGTTAGCACTAGGGATCAGTTCTCCCAGATGTGTTTATATACAATTTATTGTTGCCCCACCTTTCCCACAGCCACACCAACGCCCATGCGGCACCTCCCATATTTCTTACCCCACCCCATTCTCTTATAACTGGCCAATAAATCCTGAAGCTTCCGGACGACGCCTCCAATCAGCTGTAGTGCAGGTGCTTGATCGGCTTCGGCTCCGTGGCCATGCATGTGCAGTCAGTGTATTAGGCTGTCAGAATCCTCTGCGCATGCGTGGCTTTGCCCTACATTGTTCTAGGCACCAACTGCGCATGCTCGGCAATTGGACTGCGCATGCTCATCATTATCAGTTGGATGTCGGGCCTCACAGATCGCCGTCGTCAATGCAGGAAGCTTGCTGGCCATTAGGTGAGTATCCGCAGCGTCTGGAGCAGGTATATAGGAACACCCTCCTCTAAGGCCCGACAACACGAGCAAGCATTAGATCTGTGGCTGATTCTGCAGCCACATCCCTGGTATTTAGGGGAGATTCAGGAAGTGCCTGAATGGAGAAAATATTGATGGCAGGAGCAGGGTCTACTTCTACCAGCTTCAGAGGTAATCTACTTAGGCCATCAGCGTGGCCCATTTCCTTACCAGGTTTGTGAATCAATGAATAATCATAGGCTGACAAAAAAATAGACCATCTCAGCATCCTGGGAGAGATAATATGGGGAGTTTGTTTGTTAGTGGTAAACAACCCCAGCAGAGGCTTATGATCAGTGTAGACCATGAAATGTCAGCCGTATAAAAAATCATGGAATTTTTTAACTCCAGCTACAATGGCCAAGGCTTCCCTGTCTATTTGGGCATAATTACGCTCAGCAGAGGATAAAGTTCTGGAGTAATATGCAACAGGATCCTGAGTTCCATCAGCCCTCAGATGGCTAAGTATGGCCCCCACCTCATAAGGGGATGCATCACAAGCGATGTAAACAGGTAGATTTTCATTGAAATGTGCAAGCACATCATTGGATGTAAACAAGGCCTTGACCTCATTGAAGCTCTTTTAATGTACTTGGGACCATTGCCAGACTGCCTGCTTGTCTAAAAGCCTATGAAGTGGTTCTGCTACATCAGCCTTGTTGAGTAGAAAAGCGTTGTAAAAATTCAAAAGACCTAAGAATGCTTGCAACTCTCCTTTAGACTTAGGCCTAGGAGCCTGCTGTATGGCTTTTAGTTTAGATTCAGCAGGGGAATACCCCTGGCATCTATTCTGAATCCCAGAAAATCTGTAGAAGTGACTCCTATCTTACATTTCTCTTTTTTGAATTTTAGTCCAGTTCTTCCGAACCGAAGCAAAACAGCCCTCAATCTCTCAGCTAAATTCTGAATAGATTCTCCAGCAATAAGGACATCATCAAAATAGGGGTAAACTCCAGGAATACCCCTTAGTGTGTTCTCCATGACACTTTGGAATATGCCAGGAGCTACATTTACCCCGAATTATAGTCTCTTGACTTTGAATGCACCTCTATGAGTTACAATAGTCTGTGCTTCAGCAGCAGCTTCATCAACAGGTAACTGTTGATATGCCTGTGCCAGATCTAGTTTTGCAAAAATGCGGCCCCATTTGAGGGAAGCCAAAATGTGGCTGGTACAGGTAGAGGATACGCATGCTGTTGCAATGCCTTGTTTAATGTGCATTTGTAGTCTGCACAGATGCATATGTCCCCATTAGCCTTGAGAGGCATAACTATGGGGGTTTCCCATGGACTAGAATCTACAGGTTCTAAAATACCTTGCTGGGTCAATTTATCCAGTTCTGCATCAATTTTCCCTTTAAGTGCAAAAGGTACTCTCCTTGCTTTAACCCTAATGGGTGTGATATCAGCGTCAAGCTTCAATGAAACAGGAGGCCCTTTGTAAAATCCAAGTTGTGGACTAAATACATCTGCAAATTCCTCGCAGACCTCTGCTAGGCCCAACGTTTGCAAATTGTGCAGCCCTGTAACTTGGATTCCCAAGGCCTCCAACCAATCGAGTCCAATAAGACTCGTTCGTTCACCCCCAACAACCAATACATCCAGTGGACCTTCAAAACCTTGTGCTGTACTGTAAGGGTGGCCTCCCCCTTTAAACACACCTTGGAATTTTGAAAGTCTGTTAAGATTATATTGGATGGCCTCAGTTTGGCTGGAACCCACTGCTGTTACAAATCTTCCTAAATGTATGAATGGAAATGATTGAAAG